CTTTAGTACTCTGAGGACATCCCTGAGAGCAGATTTTCCTATTGCAACTTATCTTTTAATTTCTTGACTGCTAGTACGAAAAGTGTTGATAGTGGAGACAAGTAAAATAAAATTGCCGACAACTTCAATCTTTTCTCCACCTATCATGATGTTGCCTGTTGGCCTGGTGGTGAGGATTTTTGTTTTCTGATGTTAAGATGTAACCCGTATTACAGGCTGTATCTTCTGTAGCAAGCACTTCAAGTCATTCTCCGCTTCATGAAATAGGAACAAATCTAACTAAAAATGCGAAAGACCTATATAAAGAAAATTACAAAACATTGCAATAAACAAATAGAGGCATATATAAATGGAAGAATATACCATGTTCATGGAATAATGCTGGTGTGTAGCATTGAATCTAAACTAACGCATAACTGACCCTCCAGTGGGTTTTCGGAGGCAGTAAGTCACATGGGAGGATAGTGTTCATCTTTCTACTGCAGAGCTGCTGGTAGATACTAAGACTCAATATCATGAAAATGACAACCCTACCAAAAGCAATCTATATTCAATTCAACCACAAAATAGACAGTGATACAATTCTTCAAGAGACAGAAAAGGCAATTTCCAACTTTATACTGGGGGAAGATACTTGAATATGCAAAGCTCTGCTAAAAAAGAAAAACAAGGTAGGAGGCATAACACATGATCATCTTTAATTACTACACAACCATAGTAATCAAAATAGCACAGCACTGGTATACCAACAGACACACAGACCACTGGAAAACAACTGAGAACCCAGAAATCAACCCATCTACATTTGATCAGCTAAGAAATCCATTACTCAGGGAAACAAAAGCCTCTTTGGCAAGTGGTGATGGCAAAATTGAACATCTATCTACACAACATGGATGAGACTAGAGGACATTACGTTAAACGACATAACACATTGACAAAAGCACAAATACTATAGAAGTCCACTGTTACAAAACAGATAATGAGCAACATAGTGAAACAGGCAAAGGGAAGGTCAACCCAAAAGGGAAGGTCATGGACAACTAGAAATTATTCATTCTGCAACTGAAAATCTGGAACAGGACATGCACTACAGATTGAATAGGGGAGGGAAGGAAATTTGTATGAAAGTAAATTTAAGATCAGTTTGTAAACTTTCACTTAAATCACAATTTTTAAAAAACTTCCTTGTGTCCAAAGTAGAAAATGATGTTGAATTTTGTCAAAGATCGTTTCTGCATGAACTGATAGGATCAAAGGGTTCTTATTCTTTGCTGACCACTGGAATATTCTGTTCATGTGTTTGACTTCAGCATGTCTTCCCTTTGTAACTCTCTATGTTCTACAACATTTTTTAAAGTCCTGTTTTCTCACATCCATTTTGGTAATTCTTTCTCCCCTGTCTTGTAATAATTTTTATGATTTATTCATGGATGATAATGCTGATGTCATCCCACAATTCATTTGGAACTGTGGACCAATCTCTCTCATGAACACAGACCTAAAAATCCTTAACAAATCCTGGCCAAAAGAATCCTACACACACACACACACACACACACACACATATATATTAAAAAAAATTCATCTTGACTAAATGGGATTCATAACAGGTATGCAAGGATGGTTCAACCTAACAAAAACAACACAAGTTATCACCTTAATAAGGCAAAGAATAAGAACCATTTGATCCTATCAGTTCATGCAGAAAATATCTTTGACAAAATTCAACAGCATTTCCTGATTAAAACACTCAACAATATAGGAATAGAAGGGAATTTCCTCAATATGGTAAAAGCTGTTTATGCAAAAGCAAGAGTCAGCATCATTCTCAATGGAGAAAGACTAAAAGTATTCCCCTTGTGAACAGGAACTATCACCACTCTATTCAGTGTTATATTGGAAGTACTAAGGCAATAAGGCAAGAGAAAGAAATAAAAGACATCCAAATTGGCACAGAAGTGGTAAAACTATCACTATTTGCAGATAATATAATAGTGTGCACAGAAAACCCCAAAGACAAAAAAAAAAAACAAAACCAAAAACCTGTTACACCTATTAAACCACTTGAGTTAGAGTGGCAGGATACAAGATCCATATACAAAAATCTGTGGGATTTCTCTACAGCAACAAAGATAGTATGGAAAAGGAACATAAGAAACCAATACCATTTATAACAGCCAACCACAAGATGAAATATTTGAGAATAAATATAACTAGAGACACAAAAGACCTTTATAGAGGAAACTACAAAACACTACTACAAGAAACAGTCGTTGTTGCTGTTGTTGTATTCCATTGAGTCAGAGCTGACCTATAGCTGATTCTCAGGCAGGTTTTCAGAGGCCATTTAATAGCAGGAGGGGAGAATGTTCATCTTTCACTCAGGGAGTAACTGGTGGATTTGAACCCCGTGCCTTTGGGATTGCAGCACAGCTTTTCATGCTCATGGGGAGTAAGACTCAACATTATAAATCGGGATGGGTGTGTCGGAGGCAGTGCAATTGGCACAGGACAGAGCAGGGTTTAGGGCTGTTGTACATAGGGTTGCTATGAGTCACAAGCAACTCGACGGCACATAATAACAGCAATGAAAAACAATCTACATTTTCAGCATTGAAACCTTTCTCCACACCTAGTCTGTCTGTAACTGAACAAATCATTCAAAAAGTTGGGCTATAAGAACAAAAATGTGACATCAACACTGGAGGAAGCCTCATCAACAACCTGCATTATGGGTGTGTGTGTTTGTGTGTGTGTGTGTATGCCATAAGTTTATACCCATGGCAGACAAGTGTTTGGTGGAGTTCCCAGTGTAAGACAGGTTTGGAAGAAGGAGTGGCGTCCACTTCCTAAACAACATGTCTCTGGAAACTCTAGGAACTTTGAGAAACGATGACAGTTATAGAAAGGTTTCAGACCTTTAGTTCATAGGGTCGCTATGAGTCGTGCTTGACTCGACAGCGATCAACAACAATAACAACAACAACAACTCCCTGCTGGTGAGTCAGAACTGACTCATAGCTGACCCTTTAGCAAGTTTTCAGGAGACTGTAATCCCAAAGGGAGGAAACTGCCCATCTTTCAAAGACTACAGCCTTCAGTATGACTGAGATATAGAAAGATACATACACATGGATATTGTTGCTGTGTGCCGTCAAATAGAAAGCGACTCATAGCTGACCCTTCAGAGGGTTTTCGGACCGAATATATCAGACTGTCCAGTTTCTTCCTGAAGAGCATCTGGTGGATTCAAACTGAGTACCTTTGGGTTGGTGGAGAGAGAGAGAGAGAAAAAGTGTGCGTGTGTGTGTGTGTTGTTCAGGAAGGAACTTTCCACTTAGGCATGAAGAGTGTGGGTTGCTGACAAGATTTATCTCAGCTTTTAAGCAGAGGCCTCACTTCCTGGGCATCCAAAACAGAGGCCAACTAGGATAGGGGTGGAAGACCTGGCCATTTCAGTCCAATGGGTGACATTTCCCCAGTTCCTGAGGGAACTCTGAGATGACCCCGCATGGAAGTCAGGGACCCACTCTATCCTTCCTTCTTCTTCCTCTTTCCTCCTGTGGGGGTCCCATCTGTTTCGAGGTCCAAGGCCCTCAGTCCATCCACCCCTAGCTCCCCCTCACCTCCACTGTTCACAGGTGTTACGCCCCAATATACTTCTTGCACTACTAATTCCATCTTGGCAACAACATCCCAAAGGACTCAAATCAACACAATTGAGAAATCAGACGGGAATTTTTTTCCCAGCCTCTGAAACTAAAAAAAACAAACAAAAATCACACAACCAACCCACAAAGAAATAGCAGAGAGTAACAAACATCATGCTTTATTTAAATATATTCATCTAACAAAAAAAAGATTTTCGCACTGAAAAATTACAATGGCTATCCCTAGAGCCTGATATTAGGGATATCAAAAGTGAAATTAGTGCTCTTTTGGGGGTAAGAAGCCTTAGCCAAGCAGCCCTCCTCCCCTGTCCCCCATAAACAAGCCCTGCCAGATGATATATCTATAAGGTCTCCAACACCACGTCGGGCTGGCTCAGGGGATCTTGTCTACCTTCCCAGAACACCCTAATCTCTCTCACTAGATTTACAAGTGGGCGGCACAACTGAAGGTTCATGGTTTGAGCCCACCCACCAGCACTAAAAAAGATGGACCTGGATACTGGCTTCTGATAAAGAGTCGAGAGAAGAAAGAACTCTATGGAGCCTTTCTCCTCACATTCTGCACAGAGATTCCACGCGTGAGGGCAAGAGGCTTTGGTTCTAGCCTGCCATCATTGAAAGAAAATCCAGCCACATTCAGGCAACTCTGTCAGACATATAATGACCCCACCACCACCCCATCCCTGGCTCCCTGGGACAGAGGAGAACCACTTCAAAAGGTTTTCAGGACTATAAATCCTTATAGAAGCCAACTGCCACATCGTCATCCTGTGGAGAAGCTAGTGGTCTCGACCCACTAAGGTTTTGATTAGCAATCCGTATATTTGCTTCAGCACTGTGCGACTTTCTGCCCTACCTTCTTCTACCTGCACTCCCAGCCCCCAAGTGAGATGTTAGGGGACCTAGAATAGGCACCCAGTTAATTACTTCGCACTGATTATTAAAATGACTGACAGAGGATGTGTCCCTGAAAGGACCCTGTGTAAGATCCATCTCCACTGAGTTCCTGTAGGTTTACAAAATGCTTAGGAGAACACGACCACACGGCTGGCTCCCTTCAGCCTGGTAGTGAACGTGAAGGCTGAGAAAATGAGTTGCTTTGAGGTCCTATTAACAGACCTTTTGCGAGTCTTAGGGCCTCAGGGCCAGGGCCCCTCACAGGTGGGAAGGGAAGAAATCCTGTCTACCCTGTTCTGTTTCTCTCAAAAGGGAGAAAACTTTGTGGTCACTGGTGAAGACAAGAGACTCAGCCGCTCCATCTGTTGGTTGGGACCTGAGCTGCGTCCAGGTGAGTGACCAGGCAGGTCAGCCAGGCTCAGGTTCAGCTCACCAGCCAGAGACCCTGGGTCGAGCAGAGGTGCCAGGAGCACCAGCCTTTTCCGGGAGCTGCGAGCGAGCGGCGGGTTTTGGCTTCTCCCGGTCCAAGTCCTGGGGGAAGTCGTCCAAGGAAGAAATGTCCATGTCACTCTCATCTTCTGACAGCTGCAGGAGAGGGGGGAAGAAAATGCATTGGGGAGGGGACGCTGAGAAGAGGTGTGGGGCGCCATGAGGTAAATGGGGACCCAAAGCAGACGTGGAAGCAAATGGTAAGCAGATGCTGCTGCTGCTGCTGCTCCTACCTGCTCAGGCCTACCTGTTTCCGAGACCTAAAAACAAAATAAGCTCAAAGATTAGGAAGAGTCCGGTGCGAGTCAGCTACCCGAAGCAAGGCAAGTCCTGAGGAGGGGTCTATGCGCATCAGGTCATTATTGCTTCAGTTTTAACTCTGTGCAGGCTCTTTTAACAGATCTGGAAGCTCTGAGCTTTGACGATTCTAAGTTCATCGGCTGAATGCACCATGCGTTAACACACCTCCGGCCTCTCAAGACAGGAATGAGGGGAACACAGGAGCCCTTCAGGCAGGAAAGGGTCTGGGCTGCAGGCAATAAAAGGCCAAGGCAGCCAGGCCCTTCCTCAACCCTGGGCGGCAGGACACTGTACACAGCCCAGGCCTGCTCCACCATAAGCCATCCTATGCATGTTCTACAACGGAAGGCCAACCAATCAGAAACTGCCCAGCATGCTTTGTTGGGGGTGCTCAACGTGCCCTGGGCTGTGGGCTCTCTTCTACAATGTGGGAAGATGGAATAATGACAAATGTACATGAGTGGTACATTTGGCAGCGGTACAACTGGCAGCATCAGGATGGATGGGGAAGAGATTGAGATTGTTCACAGCTTTAGTTTGCTTGGCTCCACAGTCAACACGCTTGGCACCAGCAGCCAGGAAATTAAAAGATGTATTGCGATGGGAAAGTCTGCTGTTAGAGACCTCTCTAAAGTACTGAAGAGCAATGGTGTCTCTCTGGAGACTAAGGTTCATCTGATTGAGGCCATGGTCTTTGCAATCACTTATTATGCATCAGAGAGCAGGACAATGACTAGGGAGGACAGAAGAAGTATTGATGCCTTTGAGCTGTGGTGCTGGAGAAGAGTATTGAGTGTACCATGGACTGCTAAGAAAATGAACAGGTTCATCCTGGAAAGGGTTAAATCAGGCTGCTCCTTGGAGGCAAGTATTCTGAAGCTTTGCCTGACATACTTTGGACATGTTGCAAGGAGGGACCAGTTTTTGGAGAGGGACGTCATGCTTGGGAGGGTGGAGGGACAGTGCAAGAGAGGAAGACTCTGGATGAGACGGATTGATTCAGTGACTGGGGTAATGTGGGTAGGTGTGTCGGAGACAGTGAAATTGGCACAGGGCAGAGCAGGGCTCAGGGCTTTTATACACAGAGTCACTATGAGTCACAAGCGACTCGACGACACATAACAACAACACAAACAGTATGACAAACTGGGAGGAAGCCCTCTCTTCAAGGAAAAAAAATAAAATAAGGATTGCCTGTGTATTCGTTTCAGAGCAGTACCATTGCTTATCCTGAGATGCACCTTTGTGGTTAAGAAAGGTGAGAAATGAGGGGGCGGAGGAAAGAAGCCTCTGGAATTCACTGCTTGAAAAGGTACTAGGACAGTAAGTCATTTCCTGCAGGGAGGAGGAGGTGGGGGCCCAGAATGAGGCTGGTAATGGTGGGGAGCTCTGGTGGCCTCGTGGTAAGAAGCTGTGCTGCAATTCCGAAGGTACGCAGTTCAAATCCACCAGTTCTCTGTGGGAGAAGGATGGGCGATCTCCTCTCACACGATTAACTGCCTTTGAAAACCCGCCGGAGGGTCAGCTATGTACGGTACTCCACAATCAACAATGTTGGGGGAGAGGCTGAACATCTGACCTTCAAATCCGATGGCGGCCGGAGCCTGAGCACAGCTAGGTGGTGGGGGCGTTATCAGGGGAGATGGCCTTCAATATTAGGGCCAATGGAGGCCACACATTGCCATCCATCTCCTAGGGCTCCCTATTCAGATGGGTCACGTGATGCCACTCCAACACCCCAGCCTCGGGCAGAAGTCAGCCAACACCCAGCTAGTGCGGAGACCTTTGACAGAGTAAAGGACACAAAGGCGGAATGAAACGGAACTGGCGCTGAGACAGGGTCACACACGAGAGATGGGAGTGTCCGACACCCAAAGAGAGCTGACCTCTGAGCAACGGCTTGCACAGGACACTGATCAAATCGTCCAATCTGACGACCCTTCTGGCCAGTTCCAACCCATGATGAGCCTCCGTCCAGTTTCCGAGGCTGCAGGTGTTTATAAAAGACAACCGCTCATCTTTTTCTCCTGGACGAGCTGGTGAATTCAAACTGCTAAGCTTCCTGTTAGCAGTCTGACAACATTCACACATCACCAGGGCTCCTTAATATTGCCTTGCTGCTGTGTACCAGCGAGTCGGAATCGACCCATGAGTGACCCTCCAGCAGGTTTTCACAGGTTTCCACCTTTCTCCTGTGAAGCAGCTGGTGGACTCGAACCATGTGCCTTTGGGATTGCAGCACAGCTTCTTGCCACTAGGCCAGCAGAGCTGTTTATGTTTTTCCATGAACATCAACAGATGGTATTGCAAGATGGCCAATCCCTTCATCTGAGCAGAGCAGTGGGAGGCAGGGAGGCCACTTGCAATGTCCTGCTCAGACATACTGGGTCCCTCCCCAGCCTTCACTCTGGTGGGGGTCAGGGGGACACAAACTGGGAGCCGGCTCTGTAGGGAGAGCGCAGACTCTGCATTCAATCATCTTCCTCCTACCTGAGGCTTCGATCCGGCCCGGGCAGCTCTCTGTGGCCCAGCCTTGGGCAGTAAGAACAGGCTGACCCCACCAACTGGCTTCTTCGCTGGCGCCTCCAGCTGCTTCTCCAGGCTTCTGACCATCGACTGCACCAGGGTTCCTGGAAGGACAACACGTGGCTGTGACGGTGGACAAAGCAGGAGAAGGACTACTTCATCCCTGTGGACCCAATATAGGCTCCAGTGTGAACACAAGGAACGTGGACAAGGGTCAGGAAGAAGAAGGTGGGGTCACACACACACCAGAAAAGAGGTGCAAGGAAAAAGAAAACGGCAGACCAACGTGAGCCTGGTGAAAACGGGCCCAGGACAACTTGACTATGTAACTGTGTGGACTTAGGGACCTGGCTGGTGACGGACGCTGAGTGAGGTGTTCTTGTCTCTCACAGAAGGCTGGGGTGACTGTGTGACTCACATGCAGACACAACCCCTCTTCACACAGAAACAAGTTGTTGTTGTGGTGGTGGTAGTGGTGGTGTACCATCAGTCAGAACCCACAGCTGACCTTCCAGCAGTTTTTCAGAGGCAGCTAATTGCACAGGAGGAAAGTGCCCATCTTTCTCCCCAGCACAGCAGATAAGATTCAAACCACATGCATTAAGAGGGTAAATGAGCAAAATACGAATAAATGTTCAAAAGGGGAAGGAGAAGGAGAGAAGAGGGGGCGGAGAAAGGAGGAAGGAGGGAAAATCACTGGGATAGCAGAAGTTAGTGGGTGGAGGGGGTGAAGTAATGGGGAAGGTTCAACAGGAGCTTAAAAAGACTACGTGATTAGGCATTAGAGGTAGGACAAGAGTCCAGAAAAAGGAGTACTTCGCAAAGAGGCCTGGAGAGGAGAGAAGGGGGGGAGGGAGGTAACTGTGCACCGATGAATGAATAATTAAAAAAGACAGTGAACTTGAAGAGGAGAAAAGGGGGGAGAGGGGAGGGAAAAGAGCAGCAAGAATGAATGAACTCCGTTTCTGTAAACTTGCATTAAAAATCACAACTAAAAAAATGTTCTTAATTTAATAAAATAAAAAATTTTATTAAAAAACACTAGGTGATAATAGGCATAGAGCAACAATAATTAATTATGTAAGATAACATGTATATGGATAGTTGTGTAAAACACAAAGTACACACCGGATTTGGTGTGAGGGGAAATGGATACGAACTTTGTAGGTAAACCAGGGTTAAATTAAGAAGAAAAAAAAAAGAATAGCAAGAAATTTAAAAAAAACCCCACAAAGTATTTACACAAAATATAATGTATATTAATAATTATATGCAAACCAAGAAAATATTTTTTTAAAAACAAACAGCACAACGACCACTTTCTTCTTCTCTCTGGCCTTCCTCCCACATTGGTGACTGGGTGCAGAAGCTGGCTGTCACCGCCCCCAACAGCTGCGTGGAGAAGATGACTTTGGGGTCTGCTCTACCTACAAGTATGGGCATGGTCTGTGCCTAGGAAGGCTGGCGCTTCAGGACCCCATCTTTCACCAAAGCTTTGCCTTCTGCATCACTGGACTTTGACTTGAGCAAAGATCTGATCTCACAGATCTGATCTTCTGATTATTTTCTATTGCTGAGAATTTAAAAGAGAAAAGAGAGTGGGCCTGGCCACCTCCAACAGTTAAACAACTCAGTGCAATCTCTGTGGTCTACGGAGGGGGAACTATGGCCGTTGAATTGACTCGGACTCAGAGCAACACTACAGAACACACCAGAACAGCGTCACGTGTGCTCCAGGGCTGTAAGTATCGGCAGGAGCAGAGGATTCACCATTCTCCCAAAGGAGTGGTAGGAGGTTCAAACTGCTGACCTTTTGATTGTTGTTAATGTGCAGCATAGACTCAGAACCAACCCATAGCTGGCCCTCCAGCAGGTTTTCAGAGGCAGTTAATCACACGAGAGGAGACTGCCCATTCTCCTGCAGAGCAGCTGGTAGATTCGAACCGCATGTCTTTGAATTGGCAGCACAGCTCCTTGCCACTAGGCCACCAGAGCTCCCTGATCTTTTAACTGGCAATGAAGTATTTGGCCACTACGGCAGCAGAGCTCCTGTGTCTGATGGCAGGGGCTCACTCTCTCCACATCAGACAGAACGAAACACCAAGTCAGGACGCCAAAAGAGAAGAGAAAGGTGTTAACCTGAACCTAGAGAAATTCAGGCTGGAGAAACGCTACCCCGAGTCACAGGTCACTCAACGCAGGACGTCAGCCCACCTGAGCCCTTGCCGGGGGGCTGGCCATTCCCCTCCGAGGTCTCTGTGTCAGACCAGTCCCAGTCACCCTCGGGCCGGGACGCCATCCTGGAAGGAACCCGAGGCTTATGAAGAGACACGCGCTGAACCACGTCTTCCTCTGAGTCTTCTTCAGAACTGAATGGAGGTGTGCTGAAGCACCACACCGAGAAGGGAAAACAAAGAGCAAACAAGAAAGAAAGAAAACTTTAAATTTGACTTTACCAGCCTGCAAGCTGGTTTGTTTTGCCCACAGCCAGCCCCGGGCTATCCATCACTTGAGCCCAGACAACAGCCAGAAGCCATTCTGAAATCTGGGGGCCCATCAGTTCTTCTCTTCAGAGGGGGTACTCCTGCCTTCCTGTGGACTCAGCCTTTCTGATGCAATGACTGGGGTTCAGGGATGAGATGGAGAAACAAAGACTGTTAACTTGGCTAAGCTATGGTATCCAGAAGTTTAGAGGAAACCTAGTTGCTTTTCCTTGCTGGGGAAAAACAAGGGGTCAGCAAAAGAGAAGAGTGTATTTGAGATGAACAGACACTGAGACTGTAACAGTGGACTTGACTATGACAGAGGCTGTGGAATGGGCAGGCAAGGTTCTGATCTGTTGTTCCCAGGATTGCCTGCTGTGGGCTGTAGTTGACTCAACAGTGCCTAACAACAACAGCTGCTACTCCGTACCCAAATCAAATGTGATGGAACGCAACCACTTCCCATAATGCAACCTAGTGCAATGACCTTTTTGTTGTTGTTGTTGTTAGGTACTGTTGAATCACAACCCACCTATAGCTGACCCTCCAGTGGATTTTCAGAGACAGTAAATCACATGGGAAGGGACTGCTCATTTTCCCCCAAACAGCAGCTGGAATTCCAAACATGTGGCTTCAGCTTGGCAGTGCAGCTCCTAACCACGCGGCCACCAGGACTCTCCAATTTAAGGAGCTTACACAATGCAATCTAATGTAGCATTCAGTCAACCAGCTGAAAGGCAAAGTGACTTAAGAATGTGTCCTGTCCATTATGCTGAGTGAAATATCTCAGTCACAAAAGGACAAATACTGCATAGTGCCACTGTTATAAAATGGGACTGACATCAGGGTTGGGGGGGAGACTGAGAAAGGTAGGATAAATTATGTATACTGCATTAAAGGGAGATGTGATTAGGTATTATTGTCATGACAGGAGTCCAGAACGAAGGCACCATAGTGGAGTGGACTTGGGGGGAGGGATTGTATGACAAGAAAAGAATTTGTCTTCTACTTTTCAAAGAGAAAAACGAACTGGAGGGGAGAGGTGGACAAGGAGAAAAGTGCAACAATGAATGAATGGAAATCAAAAATCTCTGTAAATTTTCATTAAAATTAATAATAAGAAGAAGAAAGTGTCCTGTTTCTAGTCTACAGACATTTTCACAGCACAGGGTCACCTGCTCACTCTCTCTCTCTCCTCTGTATTCTCCCTTGTCTGCCCTACAGATCTTGGAATGCAAGCCCCCAAGAATCTCAGCCTACTGCCTGCTATACTATATGCATTTTGGGCTTGTTTGCCCCCCACAATTGCACAAGTTAACCTGTTGAAAGAAATTCTTCTCTGCATAACCCAGCTCACCTCAGTCTGGGCCCTGGGGAAGTGGGACTGTCGGAAGGCCCTCGGGTTCTGGCGTGTGGAGTAGGGGCAGAGGCTGGCGGGAGGCCAGGGCCAGGGCTGTCACGGCTCCGAAGACTTGGCTTGGGTGGTTCTGCTGGCTTGGACAGTGATGTCCCATGCTGGGTCCTGGCCTTTGGTTGGACCTCTTTGGTGACCAATGCACTCTGCTGACTTTGGACTGGAAATTTAGAAAGGAATGATTTTCAGAGCCTAGCCAGGCTGGACCCTCAAGGCAGACTGAGTGAAAACGAGGGTCCAACACTGGGAAAGGAACCAACAGATCACTCTTACACTGTAACGGTTAAAGTAGTTACCCACCCCATCCATGAAGTCTGCCCCTGGCCTGACGCTTGTTGGTGTCGTGTGCTGTCATCGCAACCAACTCACAGCTCACCCTCCCGCGGGTTTTTAGAGGCAGCAAACTGCACAGGCGAAAGGGGGCTCTGGTGGCCTATTGGCAAAAAGTTGTATTGCAACCCCAAGGGCATGTGGTTCGAGGCCGCCAGCGGCTCCATGGGAGATGGGCAATCTCCTCCCATGTGATTAACTGCCTCTGAAAACCCGCTGGAGGGTCAGCTATGGATTAGTTCTGACTCGATGGTACAAAACAATAATGCTAAGAAAGACAAACAAACAAAAAAAGAAAAGAAAAAACCTGCATGGAAGTGGACTGCTCATCTTTCTTCCATGGAGCAGCTGGTGGATTTGAACCACATGCCTTTGAGGTGGCAGCACAGCTCCTTACCACTAAGCCATGAGAACTCCCTAGCTTGATACTGTTGTTGTTATTGCTGTGTGCCACTGAGAACCGACCCATAGCTGACCCTCCTGCAAGTTTTCATAGGCAGTTAATTGGATGGGAGGACTTTGTCCATTCTTCTGCAGAGCAGCTGATGGATTTGAACCGCATGCCTTCGGGATTGCAGCACAGCTTCTTGCCACTAGGTCACCAGAGCGCCCTGGTTTGATGACCAGCCCCTGAGAAGGAAAGTCCAATAGGGCTGGCTGGGGATTCCTTAGAAACCAGGACGGTAAGCCAGCTGTTTCAGGGCCATATTATTCATACAAGAGACAAACAGGAATCAGCCAGTCTCAAAAAAGAGTCTAGGCGGTCAGCAGCTGACCCCAGAGCAGTCCCAGAAGGTGACGTCAAGCTGGACATCTCTCCTCTCCACCCACCGGTGCTGCAGCCACTGGGGTGCGGGAAGCCCTGCAGGAAGGGCTTGGTGCCACCAGATGGAGCTACAGGACCACAAGGTCCACACAGAACCTCAATGCTGCCTGTGGCATGCAATTATTTAGCCTTTTTCTTTTGTTTTCCAAACTGAATCAAGACATTGGTGGGGCCCAGGATTTACAATCATTTTAAAGAAAGAGAATCAAAAAGAAAATGCATTACAGAGACTCAGAGTTTAAGTACTGCTCCAAAAAGACTCAGTCGTATCAGAAAATGCCTTCCTTACTATACATAGTTCAAGGTCAAAAACACTTGGAATACACTGCTCTCAGAAAATGCATCCAGTTGAAGTGGTCCTCGGAGCATTTGCATTGCCCTACTTTGAGCTCTTGGAAGCCTAGTGGCAGGCAGCTGTGCTGCCAACTTAAAAGGTGCACGGTTCAAATCCACTAGCTGATCTGTGGCACAGAGATGGGCAATCTCCTCCTGTCTGACTTCTTTTCTCATACTGTAATTTTTAAAAAAAATTTTTTTTCATGTTATATTGCTTTGCAGTCAAAATTCCTACACATAGTGTTTCATTTATACACATTGCATTTTACACACTCCTCCACCCACACTGATCATTGCCACACACTGTGCTTGATCACGTTAATTCGCACTGACGTATGCCCACTGTTACCTCTTCTTTTCAGGTGCCGTCTAGACCCATCCTAATTCCTTCACCCCTCGCTCTGCCCACCAGACTCCTCCCACGGGATTTGGAGCCTCTGAAAACCCCATGGAGGGTCCGCTAAGAGTTCTCCCAACAGCATATAGTAATACTTTAGAAAGGTGTCAAGAGAGTAAGGGTCTTGCTCAAGATCCCATGGGAGTGTCAGAGACCTGCTATGGGCATCTCAGGCTGCAAATTGCACAGGAAGGGGCATGTACATCTTTCTCCAGAGGAGATGCTGCTGACTTGAACTGCAGGAGACACACAGCTTTAGGGTGAGCACCACACTTGCTGTGGTCAGTCACCAGGGCTCCCTGGAAGGCTAAGTCTACCCTACAAACAGTGTTCTCTTTATACCTCAGCCCTGGAATAAGCAGACCCACAGGAAGGGGAAATGGAGACGCGGCGGGCAGGGAGTTTCTTTATCTCCTGCTTTCTGACCAGGGAGCAAGAGAGCTGATGGAACTGAACTGTGTGCCTTACGTTGCCAGTACAAATTCTTACCCTCGAGGCCACCAGAGCTCTTTTTTAACCATAAGATACTTGATCGGCACTCGTGTAACAAGTAATTTCTATGAGTCCACAGGACCGGTGTGCTAATAATCTGTTCTGTGATGCACATGAAAAAAAAAAGAAAGTATTTAAAAGTCCAGTCCAGTCCTCACTTAGATTTCCAAAGCTACATGGATGCCTTTCAGAGAGACCAGTTGGCCTACTGGACTGAAAGTGATGCTACCAAGCCAAAGGTGAGTGACTCTAATCTGCGGCCCTAAGGCCTGTTTTTCATTGTTTTTGGTGAAACATTCTTCTAGGTCGTATAGCCCTGGTGTGTTCACTTGCTGTACAGAGGTAACTTGTGGTTGCTGTGAAGCTGAACACTGTGACACTGATGTGTCAAATGTGATAACAGTCACCCATGGTGGACAGTGTTTGGTGGAATTTACATGAGGCAGCATGTCTGAGTAGAGCAAATCCAAATTCAGAGAATTCAAAATGTCAGCAAATTCAGGGCAAATTTGCTCTCAATTTCCTCCCAAGTTCCCAGGTGATCCTTGACATGTGACTCATGAGCCCCCCTCCCCTTTCATCCCAACTCAGTTTCCCCTGAACCAGTAACCTGCACATTGCCAGGAGGGACTTGTCCTTGGAGAAGGACATCATGCTTGGAAGGGTGGAGGGACAGCGCAGAAGAAGACGACCCCAGATGAGATGGATTGATGCAGTGACCAGGACAATGAGGGTAGGTGTGTAGGAGTCACACAGGACAGGGCAGGCTTCAGAGTGGTTGTACAGAGGGTTGCTGTAAGTCACAGGCGGCTCAATGGCACATACAACTTCTGAGGACCCTCATGGTTTGGAATTTTAGAGCAACAGCCCCAAAGGAAGCAGGGAGCACGTGCAGACAAGCATCTGAGAGAATGAGACCCTCCCAAAGCACAGACCCCAGCTCACCGGGCAGGTCTCCGTCTCGCTGGGCCACCTGCGTCCACTTCTTCTGCCTCTCCTTCACTCTGCGGGTGGTCTCCTCAACGAGCTTTTCCCTGAGGTTTAGAAACTCGGAAAATCGTCCAGCCTTCTGCTCCCGCTGGGCTCTCAGGAGGGTCTCCAGATGTCTGAACGTCTGAACTGAGATTCCTTTTGCGTCCTCAAAGAGACAGAGAAGTGCACCTTTGAAGCCAGGCGGCTCTCCCTTTTTCATTCCCCAAAGCACCTCAAACCCACTGCTGCCAACCAGGAATGAGGGCTTCTGGGAGGACACATAGTGAGAGCAGAGACAGGTGAGAGGGGTCCCACCTGCTGCTGGAAGTGGGGTGGCTGTTGTTCTGAACTGTCAAGTCAGAATCAACCTATCGCTGACCCTCCAGGAGGTTCTCGGAAGCTATAAATCACGCAGGAGGACCCTGCCCTGCCTATCGATCCCTCTTGGAGCAGCTGGTGGATTTGAACCACATGCCCTCTGAATGGCAGCATTGCTCCTCCAGGTCACCAGAGCTCCCTGGAAGTGGGAGAGCTCAGTGGTATGTGCCCTGGCAACTGACTCACAGCGGACCCTCAAGCAGGTTCTCAGAGGCTGTAAATCACACAGGAGGGGACTGTCCATCCTTCTCCCACAGAGCAGCTGGTGGATTCAAACCTTCTGCCTTGGGCTTAGCTGTGCAAGACCTTATTCACAAGCCAACAGTGTTCAATAGGGATCGCTCAGTATTTACAAAACCAAAAAATACCAACTTATAGTAACCCTCTGCTGGGTTAAGGCGACAAATTATTATGGGGGAGACTGTTCATCTCTCTCCTATAGAGCAGCAGGTGGTTTCAAACTACTAACCTTTTCATTAGCAGCCCACCACATTACTAACCGCCGCTACAGAGCTCCCCAGCATTTGCAGGCCCATCAGAACATGCACAGCAAGATAACGGGAAGTGGACGTATCACTTCGTCCATATCACAGCATAAGGGGCGTGCTTTCTCCCCATCAACTGGACCCTCGGGTGAGAGATCACACTTTTCTGCTTTTCATGACCAAGGGCCACCACTGTAACAGCTTGTCCGTGGCTGACAATGTCGAAGAAATAAACAGAAAATGTGGTAACCAGCCAGCCACCCTTCCAGAGGCTACTGAAAGTGGTGTGGACTTTTTCTATTCACCCACCCAAGGATCGTGGGAGGCATCTGAACCCAAGATGAAATTTTAATCAAGTTTAGAGACAAAAAGTTGAACCATGTCTAAACACAGGGCTAAACAGGATTCGTGAAAGTCAAAGTACCTTTTTAAGTACAAAGGACTCTAAATTAAATTGAGGTGTCTATTTTTCCCCTAATCTTACTGTATACAAATAATGTTGTTATTGTGTTGTTATATGTTGTCAAGTCAGAACAAACTCATAGCTGATTGTCTAGTGGGTTTATCTATATAGAGGGAAATGTCCCTCTCTCTCCCAGGGAGCATCTTGTTGGGTTCAAACCACTTGCCTTTGGGCTGGCAAATCAACTCCTTACCCACTAGGCCATCGACGACCTTACAAATAGTTTCTGCAGTAATGTGATGCTTGACTGCTTTAGTAACAAGGTGTCTTTTTATTGAAGAACGTGTGTCACTGATGCCTTTCATGGTAACACACACGGTCTAGTTAAAACAAACATAAGGGAACAAATTGTATCTGAATGTTAAATCTGTACCAGACCTTTCAGGGCCGGCTCCATCCGTAACCATCACGGGAACAAAGAACAGTGGCCATGACTGCCCCAGAGATGAGCATTTCACCCCTGGAGATCCATCCACGGGCCACACTGATTCAAGTACAAATCCCCTTGGTGGAAGATGCAAATGAGAGATATAAAAGTAACCAGTGAGTGGAGAGGACCGAGAGGTCAGGATACAGGGGAAGAGCATCAGCCAGGGAGAGACAGAGAACAGGAAGAGAGAGCAGAGACCTGCTGGAATGAGACAAGGAGGACGTTGTAGAGAGCTCTATTCCTGGGGAGCAAAGGGGTCCCAACTAGGACCTGTGAGGTGCCTGGGCTTATAATGTAAAGGGGAGTCAATCATTTGTTGGTCTAAGAATATCGTGTGTCTCAACTGCAAACTCTGGTCCTTAAAATCGAGCCCTGGAACTTACCCTCCGAATCCCCATGCTTTCCAGCTTCTCCTCCAGGGTGTCCTCCAGGATGGGCCTGAACTGCTTCAGCAAAGCAGGCTTGAACCTCAGAGCTGCCAGCGCCTTTATCTGCTGTTCTTCCTGGGAGCTCTCCAGGTCTGCAGCGAAAGACGGTCACTGGAGTGAGCCTGGACGTGTGACCTCCACTCCCAAAGACCCTCCCCTGTGACCACGGGCCCTTTGTGTTGCTGACCTCTCCCAACAAGCTCACAGACCAGGGGCATCCAGATCTGTGAGTTCGGCTGAGTGTCCTTGTCTGAGGCAGAAGCGAGACTCCTCCTGCTTCTGGATAACAATGTCTCAGAATTCTCTTCCCTTGATGGTTGGACCACCAACACCAGGACTGAGGCATGACCATCACTAGAGAGCTCTGGTGACCTAGTGGCAAGAAGCTGCGCTGCAATCCTAAAGGCACGTGGTTCAAGTCCACCAGCTGCTCTGCAGGAGAAAGATGAGAGTCTCCTCCTATCCAGTAAACTGCCTCTGAAAACCTGCCAGTGTCAGCTATGGGTTGGTTCTGACTCAGTGGTACACAATAACAACAGTGCCAGTGCTTCCACTCTGCAGTGCTAGTTTAAAAGCTGGCTTTTCTAGCCATTACATTAGCCCTCTCTAGTCTCCAGCTAACTTAACTGCAGATATACAATCTGGCAAATCATCAACAACTGTGGGACTAGGATAAGAGATAAAGAGTGCTTTCTGCACTGAGGAGCAAGACTTAAGGAAGACCAGAGTGAGACTCTGGTGAGAGGAAGATCTTGGTGTGGAGACACTCGCGATGGTGGTGCAAAGAATGTAGCATTGCTGTGCAGAAATTGTGGCAAAGTGTAACCAGAGGAGCCCTGAGATAAAAGCCACAGTTAATAGGTTTTTCTGTTCTTGCTGGATGCTGGAAGGAAAAACGGACTGCTGAAATAAAACCGGAGCCTGGACTCATTAAAGATTCGTGCTTTAGTTCTCATATTCTCAGGGTATATTTCAAGTAGTGGAATAGCTGGGTCATATGGAATTTCTAGGTTCAGCTTTCTGAGGAAGCACCAAATTGTCTTCCAGAATGCTTGCACCATTTTACAATCCCACCAACAATGTTCCTTTCTCAAGGAGAAAAGACTCTCAAGGAGCGTTCCTTTCTTGCTACATCCTCTCCAACATCTATTACTTGCTGCCCTGTTAAACTCTGCCACTGTTACTGGAGTGAGACGGTACCTCATTGTGGTTTTTATTTGCATCTCTCTTATTGCCAGTGATGTGGAACATTTCTTCATGTGTCTGTTTGCCATTCGAACATCTTCCTCTGTGAAAATTCTTTCCATGTCTTTTACCCATTTTGTAATTGGGTTATCAGTCTTTTTCTTGTGGAGGCCTCAGAGTATTCTGTAAACTTTTGTTATACAGAGATTTGTACACTAATGTTCATAGCAGTGTTATTCACCATTGCAAGAACATGGAAACAACCCAACTGTCCAACCACAAACAAATGGTTTGAGAAATTATGGTACATTCACACAATGGAATACTATGCAGCACGCAGGAGCAATAACTTTGTAATTGATTACCTAACTTAGGAGGGACTGGAGAGCATTATGCTGAGTGAACTAACTCAGTCCCACAAGGACAAATATTGTATAGAACCATTATTATAAAATGAGTATAAGGATCCAGGAGGGAGGGGAGACGGTGGAAGCAGAGGGATGAGGATGTGTGTGGGGGGGGGTGGAATTAATCATTGGGTTGTACAATTTGGGTGGGGGGTGAGGGAAATTGAAAGAATTTGTTCAAATTTGTATTTGAGTTTTGTAAATAAACTAGTAGGAAAATAAATAATATTTTTTCTAAAAAAAGAAGGAAAAAATGTGTGCTTTGGGACTTCCAGGCTAAAACCTGGACTTGCAGTGGGTGATAGTCTTTGCCACTCCCACTCTCCAATTTACTTCTCTAATAAATCCCACTCTCAACACCAGAAGTGTAAGTAAAGTCAGTGAGTCAATGAGTATAAGACCCATGTGATTGGGAGAAAGAGGTACAGGAGCGTGGAGGGAGGGGGTGCTTTTTGTCAGATTTTCCTTCCATCATCCCAGAAGAACAGCAAAAACTCACATATGAGTGACTGAACGAAACCCAACTTTGAAAAAAGATCTAAAGTCCGATGCTGTGAGTGGTAGGATGCTGTCCACTTACATATAAGGACTTTTTAAAATAACTACTATTCACATATAAATGTCAACAACTTAAGCCAAAGATGATGAAATTGAGGACTTCTATCAATGTTTGTGGTCTGAAATCGTTCAAACATGCTGTATTAACAATAACTGGTGGCTGAAACACAAAAGTTGGAAACAAAAAAAGAAGGACTGGTAATTGGAAAATGTAACCTTGGTGAGAGAACTGAGGTTGGGGAGAAGATGACAGAATTCTATACAATAAATAATTTACTCATTGCAAATACCTTTTTCAAAAAAACATAAAATTGACTATACAAATGAACTTCCCCTGATGCACTACATACGAATCAAACTGACCATATATGTGGACAGAGTTGATGGACAAGCTCAATATCAGGAGTCAAAACAAGGCCAGGGGCTAGGAAAGACCATCAGCTACTAATGTGCAAGTTCAAACTGAAGGTGAAGAAAGGCTTTTGGAAGTTCACTAGAATCAAATTATGACCTTGAGTCCTTGCCATCAAGGCCATCATCTACGTAAAATATAAAAGTTCATTACAAAGACAGAGAAGTAAGAAAAGACCAACATAGATTTCAAAAGAGAAACTTGCTTTGGACCAAAAAGAAGCTGAATTAAGGGAAAGAAATGCTGAGGTAAGAGAGCTGAACAGAAGATTTCAAAGGGCTGCTTGGGAAGACAAAGCAAAGTATAATGAAATGTATAAGCAGTTAGAGTTAGAAAATCAAAAGGGAAATAGGTACTCAGCATTTCTCAAGTTTAAAGAACTGCAAAACAAATTCAAATGAAAAACAAAAAAAGCCTCAGGTTACAACACTAAAGGATTTCACAGGAAAAAAATTTAAATGTTGTTGATGTTGTTGTTGTTCTTATGTGACATCAAGAGGCCTGCAATTCGCAGCGACTCTATGTACAATAGCTCTGAAGTCAGCCTTGTTCTGAACCAGTCTCACTGGCTCTCACACACCTACCTCCATTGCCCCAGTTATTTGTATCAATCCATTTCATCCAGGATCTTCCTCTCCTGGCTGTCCCTCCACCTTTTCAAGCATAATGTCCTTCTCCAACGACAAGTCCCTCCTGGAAAAATGCCCAGAGTATTTGAGACAGAGCTTCTAAATCCTAGCCCCCAAAGAGAAACTTAGTTTTAACCTCTCCAAGACAGACCTGTTTTGTTTTCTTGGCAGTCCATGGTATGTTCAAGACTCTTCTCCAGCATCACAACTCAAAGGTATCCATTCTTCTGTCATCCTTAGTCATTGTCCAGCTCTCTGATGCAGAGGAAATAAGTGCCAAACCATGGCCTGGATCAAGCACACCCTTGTCTCTAGACAGACATCATTGCTTCTCAGTACTCTGGAGAGGTCCATGACAGCAGATTTTCCCAGTACAACTCATCTTCTGGTTTCTTAACTGCTGGTGCCAAGAGGGTTGATTGTGGAGCCAAGCAAGCTGTAACTGTTAACAACCTCAATCTCCCCACCATCTATCATGGTGCTGCCAACTGGCCCACTGGTGAGAATCTTTGTCTTCTTCATGTTAAGCTTCAATCCATATGGAAGCCAGTCCTTGACCTTCTACAGCAAACACGTCAAGTCCTTTTCTGTTTCTGCAAGCCAGGTTGTATCATCTGTATAACATAGGAAGCATCAAAAGAAGATGGAAGGGGTATGTGGAGTCAAGGTACCAAGAAGACCCGGTCAAAGCCAAAAGATTTCCGGAAGCACCATATGATCAAGAACCTATAGTATAAAAGGAAAACGCCTAAGCTGCACTGAAGGCACTGACAAAAAGTAAGGCCCTAGAAACTGATGGAATGCCAAATGACATGTTTCAACAAACAGAAACAGCCCTGGGTGTGCTCACCTGTATATGCAAAGAAATTTGGACGACTACCTGGCCAACTGACTGGAACAGATACATACTTGTTCCTGCCTCGAGAAAAAAGTGATTTGACAGACTGTGGAAATTATCAAACAACATCATTAATACTAACAATAAGAAGTGAAGGGAGGGTTTTTTTAATAGCTAGAACAATACATCAACAAGGAATTTCCAGAAATTCATCATTAGATTCGGAGGAGGCCACAGAATGGGGAATATTAGTTCTGAAAGCAGAGAATACAAGAAAGATGTTCTATTTGTAGTGTGTTGACTAAGTCAATGCATTTGCCTCTGTGGATGATAACAAATTCTAGCTAACATTCCCAAGAATGGGAATCCCATAGCAATTAACTGTGCTCATGAGAAACTTATACATAGATCAAGACAGCTGTCTCAACAAAACAAGGGAACACCACACAGTTTAAAAAAATCAAGAAAAGTGTGTGTGTGGGAGCCACATCCCTTTTCTGTACCTATTCAGTCTGCATGCTGAGAAAATAATTCAAGAGACTCAACTGTAAGAACAAGAATGGATGTGGCATCAGGATCAGGAGAAGATTTAGCTACAGTCTGCCAGTCTGCGTTACAGCGCACTTACCACAGATCAAAGACTACAGCCTTTAATATGGGCCACAACTCAACATCAAGACAACAAAAGATCTCCATGACTAGTCAACCAGACACATAAGGATGTTGTTGTTGTTGTTATGTGCCATCGAGTCATTTGCGACTCATAGCGACCCTATGTACA